TGGTACACCCAGCTGATTGGTCCCCAACCACCGCTGTTTTCATGTCATGGTCCTCGCTAATACTTCAGATTTTGAAGTCACCCAGCTCCTGGGTTGTCATAGTTTCACCACTGTACACAAAACGCTTCGCTTTGCATCATCCTCAGATGTTGCCCATGTATTCCTATTGTCTGTATCAAGGCAATCACTGGCAGTATTAACCATGAGCAGTCAAAATGAAGCCTGAAGGGAGCTCAACTCATAACACCCCTTTGGTGTGATGTTTCCCATCCCCAGCTTGGTGCTGTGGTCACCAGACAAGGGCAGCTGTGTCTCCCATCACCCTGGCGAGGCTTCAAGAGAGGGATAAATCTTGTTACCAGGCACAAAGCAGGTGGCTGTGATCATCAGGTTCACCAGGATATGTCAGAGCAACTTGACCGCAGCTACCAGTAGGCAAAGCTACAATGGAGTGTTACCTGCAGAGACCTTGTGTGTCTCCTGGTGTGTCTCTTGGGTCCCTGCGTGATTCCTGGACACCACTGGGTCAGGATCGTTGTGCTTTGCTGTTCTCCACCTCTGCTCCGTACCAGCTACCCTGTAGGCTCTTGCAGCTGCTGATGGTCCCCTGCCATCCAGCTGCAGGTTTTATCACCTCTGCCTTGGACCCATGGTGCACAGTTGGTGTTTTCCCCTGCCCCAGCAGTTCTCAGCCCTGTGAGTGCTGTCACCGTGTGGCACAGTGCAGGGGGCACTGGTGCTGTTTTCTCACTTCCTTGCTGGCAGCTCTCCATCAGGGTAGCCTGGGGGCACTACTGGGAACCGGCGCCTGTACAAAGAGAAGGGTCTCTCTTTGGTGGTCTTTCCCCCGACCCTATTTTGTCTGACTTATTTAAAAGCCTTGTTGCTGGTGTCAGTTTCACATGCCAATTCCTTTAAAATTCCGGACTTTCTGGGTTCATCATCCTTACTGGAAGCTGTGATGAAGCAATAGGGTGGGATTCAGGACGTACCTGGACAATTTTGTTGGTTTTAGCAGCAGCAGTACTAGGTGATCTCACTTCTTTGCTTGTAATGTGTAGGTAGCTTTTCATGTTAAGGGAAGAATTTGCTGAGACCTCTTTGATCTTTGTACTTCTTGATTGCTAAGATTTAACTGTGTTTTGTACAGTCATTTTTCCTTCCCTTGTAAGCTCTGCCTGAGGTTGTTTCTCAGTCAAAGAAAGCCCTTCTCGTGAGGTTTCCCTGTGCTCCTGGTACGGTTTGCTAATAGGTTTGATGGGCTTCCTGCCTCCTTTTTCTGTCAGGGAAGACCTTGGCCTTGTCTGCCTTGCAGGGCTCTCTGTATTATAGCCTCTCCACACTCCCACAGCACCAGCACAGTGAAATAATGCCTCATGCCAGCCCCTCATTCCCTGCTTAGAAGGGCCAAAAATACGGAATCTGATGGCTGCTCACATGGAAGCAAGGATCTGGATTACTTTCCTTGCATGTTATTTTTGCTTTTTGTTTGTGTCCCCCCTGCTTCCCACAGCCTAAATTTGTGTTGCAGCATCAATTTACTCCTTTAAAGTTTAAGCCTTTGTCAGCATCTTTTCCTTTTAAGGGACAGAGAGATTCTGTCTTGCTGGAACATCAGCAGAATGCAGTGGTCCAGCTCTGCTTGTTGGAGCGCTGATGGACTGTGGCTGCTGCCTCCTGCTGTTGTGAGCCAGGCTTCTGTGCTAGGAAATCAGAAAGATGTATGGATAGCAGTGTTGCTGTCCTCATGGTTTGCTATTCCAGTGCTGTGTGATGGCCTCTCCATGGTTTGTTGTGGCAAAGGTGCTGTTTCATTTACTGGGAGCGCTCATGGTTTTGTTCTGACTGAAGACAGGTGTCAGAAAGCCACCATTAACATCATCCTAACTGGACATGTAAAGGAGATGCTAATGTTTGCCCCAGGCAGTATCTGCATCTTCAGGTAATCAGAAAGTTCCTTGCTCATCTTAGGGTTGCACTGTAAGCAGCCTGTTGCAAGGCAGCTTTTGTACCATGTTAGCTATGTCTCTTTTCACAATCTCTGGCATAAGTTCAGCATTAATAATAGAGGACTCTGAGGTATAATGGTGGTGAATGAATATTTATTTATAGATATAATACTATAAAATAGCTTTATTATCACTTGCAAAAGAATGCTTCCTTTTCTGTTTTCCTGGCAGTCAGTGCAGACAACAAAAACCATTCCTTCATAATGACTGGGATTGTGAAGTCAACCAATTTCTATTTTACAATGAGGAAGAGAAACACCTGATTTTTTTAATTTAGAACATGAACAGTGGAGGCCTCAGTTTGCTTCCTGCAAGAGAAAAGCACTCACTTCATACAGCAGCAACCTTGGCTGTGTGTAGGAATGCCAACTATAAATGCTTTAGCACATTTGTACTGGTTTTGGCACTGACAGGCAGTAAGCAGGCGGCTGCGTGATGCTTAGCTGCTGGCTGGGGTGCAACCATGGAAGCTGTTTAGCTTATTTAACAGAGTGCCTTGTCTGTGATCCTTCCTGGGTTTGAAAACTCTACGCTTGGGGAAGAAACTGCTCTTTGGTTATAAAGCAGTAGCAAATGGTATCCCAAGAGCAGCTTTTATTTGCCATCCTGCAAGGCCCATCCATGAGGCCACAGGAACAAAAGCTTTACTGTTCTGTATTTCAGAGTAGGCAACTTCATTGGAGCTCACTGGAAATGTGGCAAGGTTCCCCATGTTAACAGGCAGAAAACATGAACATGACAGGGTCTGGAGAACAAGTATGTAGTTTGCTTTCTGGGTTAACAGTAGGGTAACAGGTTGATATGGCTCAGCCTTCATCTCTCTTCAAAGTAATGAACATTCTCATAATAATCTGTTTGGAACAGGCATTCATTATAACCAATGAGATGCAGAAGCCCAGAAGGGGACTGGGATCCTACAGCAAAGAGTGTTTTTGAAGGCCCTTTGTACTATTTCTGAATACAGAAGATGTCTTCCTTGCTGAACACCTCTTGCCTGGACATGTAAGTGATGCCTGTCATGGGCATTGACAGCACACCATAAAGGAGAATGGGCTAACAGGGACCCTAAGCCCCTTGCTTTCCAAGGGTAGTTAATAGCAGTGTATTTGCTGACAGCTACAAGGGTGAGAACACTCATGCATCTCCTTAAGCAATGGATGATTCTTAAGTTCAGACACAATTTGCGTCTGGTTTCTTTTGCTCTCTTTGAAAAGAGACTTTAAAAGGCAGAATGAGGGCCAAGCAGTGTGTGCTATGATTAAGTTGGTTGCACGTGCTCTGCTTGCAGTGAAAGATCATCAAATGTCAGAGCATTAAATAATACATCAAAGAAAAGTGGGACATAAATGATCAACTGACTGACCTGAATGGTTTCATCCATTTTTATGCTGGGACCTGTGCCAGGGTATTGACACAAAGCAGTTAGATCTGATCTTTGGATGAGGAGTGTTTTCTGTGATGGGAATGGTGTTTTCATATGCTGTTTGGCCGGTGTCTAGACAGTGGTTTCAGCATGTGGTCTGCAGACACTAGAAGGTGACAGGACACTTTTAGGGAAGCTATCTGTATGCTGTCACCAAGAAAGTTAGCTGTCTGTAGGTTTAAATGAGCAGAATATGGATTTGCATTAGCTGGAGGAATGTTTAGGTATTTACAAGACAGAAGATGCTCAGAGTCAAGGGCCATGAAGCCAAAGGAGATACAGCTATCACATGCATTTCAACAACTCTATAATGTTTCCCATGCTGACTCTATGGGGCACTTTCTTCTAGTGCCCCAGGATTTCCATTTGTGGCTTAACTGTTTTGAGCTGCTCTGTTGTCACTTCCCTGTGGGGTGGGAGGGTACGCAGTGCATAGCCAGCAAGGACAGGTTTGTAGAGGTTTGTAGCGGGAAAGCCAGACATTTAGTTGATGCATGGTCCACGATCCAGCTAGGAAAGCTTAAGGTTCTCTGTATAATCATAGAATGTTTTGGGTTGGAAGGGATCTTAAAGATCATCTATTTCCAACCTTCCTGCCATGAGCAGGGGCACCTTCAGGGTTAAACGTCTCAAAATGAAGTGTGGGAAAGCTGTTGAACCCCTGCTGTCCACTGTCCAAGCAGCTGAAAGAAAAAGCAGGAAATCCAAAGCAATGCTTCATCACATAGGGCAGTGCCAAGAAGCCCTCAGCTGTGGGTCTGTGCTATCTGTGCAGAAGGGCCTCACACACCTCACTCTCATCAAGCCTCCCCTGAAAACTGTGCATGGATTGTAAGGCAGGGATCATGGCTGCATCTGCTTCATGTTGCTCACTGCTGTTTTCTGGGCATCGACATTCATGCAGCATGAGGCTGTGGCAACTTGAGCAGATGCGATCCCTTCTCACCAGTCAGGGCACCTACTGAGGAGCTGATCCCATTGAAGTACAGCAAACCTGTCACCAGGGCTTACAGCAGTTGCTTGGGTGAGATCAGGTCTTCACAGATTTATACCTGAGGGGCACAATGCAAAAGTTCTGCTCTGGGGTCTACAATGCTTTGTGGGGCTCTGTTTTTCCACACAGTAATGGCTTTATTTATACCTACAATGGTTTTAGTTCCACAAATGCCAGGGTGTTGCCACAAGCTGATACAAGTGTTAAAGGGCAGGAACAGGGCAATAGTCTCAGGCCACTGTCTTTACTCCATGCACAGCAATAGCTGTGTCCTGGTGATAGTTGCAAGCTTTGAAATCATATAGGCTAGCAGGGAACTACCAGTGTATGGGTTGGTGTGAGCAGCACAGATGTATTAGGTTTGACATTGTAGTACATGTTTGGTTTTTTTCCTTGGTTTTAAGTGACCACCTGTATAACAGTACCAGAAGTGGGTTTGTGTATTGCTGTATGGGTGCTCAGTTTCCTATGTTTAATTGCATGTTATGTACCAATGAGTGCATGGTGGAAACAGTTGCCTTATCATCTATTCTCCATTCCACATGGCTCTCCCTCTTGAAGCTCTGATACTATGGTCAATGCTGGAGTCAAGTCACTGAGGACAGAAGGACAAAATTCAAGTTAATATCAGACCCCTTGGAAGGGATTGCCCCTTTTTGCACGTATGCCTGTAGCTACAATGATTGCAAATACTGTAGATGGTCCTATTCCCTCTGCCTCAAAACTTCAGCAGCCCTGTGGCTCTGAATACCTGTAGTGTGCTACACCTTGTTCATGTCATGACTTGACCTGTGGGTGACGAGGATTCTTGGCTTTGGTTCACCTTGCACCTCATCGACAGGCAAGTGGGGAACAGAGAAGGAAACTCTTGAAGTTCTGTAGCTGCAAAGTAATAGCAAAATGCATCCAAACAGCAGTTAGAGTTTGCTAAGCATGCACAGATGTGAACACAGGCGCTAACTTTCGAGAGCAGAGAACAAGCTCCAGCAACATCCACTGCAAACCGCAAGAGCACGGCGATGTAGAAGGGTGCAAAACATACGGTGAACACACACAGATTCACAGAAATAATGCGGATTGCTCTCTGGATTAATTTTGTCTCATGAGGACTCGTGACCGTCTTCTTCTTGAGACATCTGATGACTTGTACTGAGCAAAAAGTCACAATCACTAAGGGAATAAAATAGCCAAAGATGATGGACACCAGTGCTGTGTAACTAGGTTGAGTAGACTGTTTCCGAAAGCAGAATTTTTCCTTTTTGTTATGAAATTGTGGACTCAAGTAGGAATAAATCATTAGTATTATCCAAAGAGCCCCACAGGTGGAAGCTGATTTCAGTGGGGATCGAAGAATCTTTGCTTTTAGAGGGAACTTGATGGCAATGTATCGATCAATAGCTATCAGGGTGATGATCAGGATGCTCTTAGGCATGTTTGTAAAGTAGATCCTTTGTATGGCGAAACACAGGTTGTCTATGGGATGCTCATACATGGTGAAATATATCAAGAAAGGCAGGGCAAAGAGCAGGAAACTGTCTGCGACTATGAGGTTGATCATGTACACCCTGGTCTCGGTCCACCTCTTGAGTTTGCAGCAGAAGACCCAGAAGGCAATTGTGTTCAGTGGGATCCCCAAAGAGAGCACTGGGATGTAGACTGTAAGTTGAAACAGCGCAATGCCACTCCGCATGTTGTTGTCTTTGGTGCAGTTCTCCATGTCGGGTTGTCTCTGTAAGACAAGGGGGCAGGCATGAGACCAAGCTTGGGGACAGGTTGTCTGGGCTGGGGCCTGCTGCAGTGCCCCACTCTCATGGCTCTGGAGCTCCTCCTGCCCTTGCACTGCAGATCAGCTCATCAGAACTGAACACAGGATTCGAGGTGCGGCCACACCAGTGCCCAGTACAGGGGGATGGTCACTGCCCTGGCCCTGGGCAGGGAGGTGGGAGCACCAAGCACCTTGGCACAGAGTGCAGACTCTCTCTAGGCTGAAAAAGTCTTCCCAACCATCTTCAGATGGAGGCTGCTGCACCAAAATGGCCTCTTGAGATGGGTTGGGTGCCTGGGACAGGGATGGAGCTGGAGATGGCCACAATGGGGCCAGTGGCAGGGCTGCAGCCTGCACTCCTGTTTGAGCACAGGCTTCAGGCTGGCAAATGAACCAAGGCCTTGGCATCCCACACTGGTGGCAGAGCCTCACTTGTACCCTGTATTGACAGAAATAGAGGGGGTAAAGGAGAACTGTAGGCTCTGAAGGGCTCGGTGGTGAGCTATTTAATTGGTCCTGAAGATCAGTGTGCAACACAGCTGGGGGGGAATTGTCTCATTGCCTCTTCACTCTTAGTATGTGACCAGCTGAAACACTTCATTGCAGTTCTGGGGAACCAGATCTGGGGAAATCCACTTTTATTTCAACCTATTTGAACTGGTCATTTATCAGCATAGCAAGCACCACGTCTTGAAAGTGATGCTCCTCTGGTGCAGCTGATGGACCCCTGAGCCCAGCAGGAGGTCTGAGGCTGCTCTTCCATTTACCTATAAGAAAAAAGACTCGAACCACAGCAGGATGTAGGGTTTTCATGTGCATAGCCCCAGATTTATCTGCCTTTCCTAGCCTGCCAGGCCTGCAGCAGTAGTGCAGGTTTCTAGATCACTAAAGGGTATCATCTGCTAAACATTTTACAGTGACAACGCTTAAACTGTACCATAGCTGATGGGGTGCTTACAGACCAGAACACACACAGCCTGTTACACAACCTCCTTTTCTGGCAGCCCCAGGTACCACTCGCAGGGACAGAGATGTGTATTTAGCCCCTGATTTCAAGAACATACCATAGCAGAGCAGTGCATGCTGGCAAACAGCGCATTTCCAGAGACCCCTCCCTACCGATGCCTCTGCCTCACCCTAGTGATCCCAGAGCCTCTAGGAAGCCCAGCCTTGCAGGGGATGCATGCTGCCCAGCACGCAGGGTGCCGATGAACCCAGACATACAGGGACAAGGTCCTTGGATGCTGCAGTGAAGCATGGCAAAGGGGCAGGGGAGGAAGAGGTAAGGCCACTGGGGATGTGAATGGAAAACTGTAATTGCTACTTAGTGCACACCCAGCAGGCGCTTTGGGAATTTGCCTCTGCATTCCGTGCACACAACAGCATCCCCTCCTGTTCGGTGGCTTATCTACTCTGTTGGCGGCATTAGTGTCACTGCACAGCTAACACTGACGGGTGGCTGTAACAGATCACTGCTCAGCTGCTTGCTTGCGTAGCTGCCTCTCACAGCTTGAAGGCTGCTGCAAAGGTTTGGAGCTCCGTGACAGACAAGACTATATGTATTTAAAGATTCCTGCTTGTAATGAAATTAGATAGTTGTCCTGAAATAATAAAGATGTTATCAGGCCAGGAGCACATTTCTTTTGTCTTGTCTTCTCTAATATTCACTTATAGTCTTTTCCCTTCCTGTCTGTCTCTCTTTAACTCCTGTCCTGATACTCTTTTTCTCTTATATTCTCTTAGTCTCTTACATTTTCTTAGTCTCTTCCCTTCCCTTCTCTTATGGTTATATTTTCTTCTATTCTTTTATGTTCTCTTTCTTGTACTATGTAGACCAGAAATGAGAGAAGATGGTTTTGAGTTACTGGCCTGCCTTGGCCACCTTGTGTGAGTCACAGACACCTCCTGCATCCCAAAACCACACTGAACTGTCATTGCGATGGTGTTATTGGTGACTTATATACCACCATTATATATTATGTACTGTACAGTTTATGCTATATATCATACCATATAATTATATATAATCTAATATCTATATCATATCATTATATATTATTTCCCTCATTTATTATATAATTATATTTCATATACTAATATGACTATACAATATAAATCTATATAAAATATCTTATAATATTAAAATAGTATTATAATTATTTATATAATTATATTAGGGAAAATATAATTATATGCTTACATTATTATAAAATATAATTATAGTTATATCTTAATTAAAATAATAATATTATCTTCATTGTTATTTTATTATAATATACAAGATTAGATTATAATTAATTTAAATTATAATATCATATTCAATATTATAATTATTAATAATGGGCTGTTATACATACAATATGCATATAATATATATGATTATATCATGTCATAATGTATATTATTTTACATAATATAAAAATATTTAATATATTATGTTATATTTAAGTTTTATGTATTATTTTATTATAATAAAATATACATTATATAATATAATACATACTCTATACTATATATTACATCATATATTATCTAATATTATCCATAATATATCATATAACTATATATAATTTTATTATTTATATTATGTATAATAACATAATATGTAATATCATCATCTCTATAATATATGAGATATTAGATTACTGTATATGATAGATACCATAATGTATATTATTTATAATAAAATCTATATATTTAATATTTATAATTTTTATTATAGAATTTTATCTATAATACATCATACAATAATATGTCATATTTAGTAGAATTATATGTATTTTATATAATGTATATCATATATACCATATAATATATGGTGTTTATATATATTATATAAATATTATATATTATAAACCAGCAGGCAAATAGTTCATGATGTGAAGTCCTGCTGGGGCCCTGGGGGAGAGGACAGACCAGGGAGGCTCCTTGGAGACACCTTCTTCCCCTAGAGCAGGTTGCTCTGAGCCCTGTCTGACCTGGCCTTGTTATAAACCAGTAAAATGTCAGCTCTTGTCATTTGCCTCCTTGAAAAAGGGCAGCTCAGCATCCATTGCCCTCCCCACCATGGCACAGTTTGTCCACACACTGCAGACTGTTCCAGATAACTTGAGGGGAAATGCCTGTGAGTGAATGGGGCTGCTGGAGGCTTCATTCCTGTCCATGGCTACTGTTGAGTTTCAATTACAACCACTCTCGTTTGAGAGCTACTCGATGGCTAGAAAAGGGCAAACAGACCAAAGCTGCTGCACTCGCAGCAGCAACAACTTTGGAGACAAAGTTCTCTGTAGAGGCCACATTTGAGGGGGCAACCCTAAGGGTTCGGGTGCTGATATAGCCGGGTCACTCTGCACATTCAGCACCTTGCTGCAACCCTAACGGTGCTCCCTAATCACTCGTATCGGTCACTGCCTGCACCGAAAGAAAGAGGTGCCGCGAGTCAGTGCAGGCATAACTACAGTTCAAACTCGCCCAGTCCCATTCGGATACTTTAGTTCTAACAAACAGCCCTACAAGGAGATGATGACTGAGAAAGAATTCAAAAACCTCTAAAACTGCAAGAAACAAAAAATACCAACCAAAATTTGAAACATCAGCGACAGCGGCCAAGTGCTAAAGTCTGATCCGAGCCTGCCCATCTACAGCACAGAGCAGCAATTGCTCAAGCGGGAATTACTCACATAACCAGTAGGGAACTCACTAGCTAACAGGCTTTATTTCAGGGAATAAAGATGAGAGATCATCAGGGACTGCAGCAGCAGAGAGATGACACAAAATACATATCGAATGCTCAACGACGAGAGTCAGATGAGTGGCTTTTGCAGGAATTCAGGCAAAACCACATCTTCATTACCATCATTGGCCAAACCCAAAGGGCCAAAGGCATAAATCCTTGCAGTAACTGGAATTATACACTCCAGGCATCCAGGACAAGGTAAACTAATGGCGAGAGCTCATCGTGTGTTACAGGCAGACAACCATGTGCAGCTCTGGGAAGGCAAATGCTGGTGGGCATTATGAATACTGAGCAGGCAGGTAGGCAGTGGAGTGGGCAGCGTGTTCTTGTGACACAGAGTCCCAGTTTACATTACATCAAAGCCAGCCTGAGTTTTACTTCTGTGTAATTTCCCTGTCCTTTCCCTGAAGCATTTAATCCTCTGGGATTAATTGCACCATTATTTGCTGAGATCAGAAGAGATGGGACAAAAGAGAGCTATGTACAATACAATAATTGCTATTAACATAAACCTCTTTATGAATGCAGATTGTAGCTCTTCAAATACTGGCAATGGGGCTTATTTTCATTACTGTATTTTCACTGACTGTAGTAGGTCCAGTAGGAGGATTATTAACTCTCTTATCATTGATAACAGACAGAAACTCATTTGCCATATTCCCACTGATGGCTTCTGCTACCAGCTCACCACGCTCACAACTGCCCTTTCAACACCCCCGCTGCCTATTTCATGGCCCACAGCTACCACCAGCCAAGGGCCCACACAGCACAGGCTGTATTTCCACAGCAGGACAAGGTAGTTAGAGGACACACACTGGGGGGAACCACAAACTGTATAGTGGGGAAATCCAGCAGGAATTGGCTGTGTCCCTTTCCTGCTGCTTTCCAGGCTTTATCAACATCTTGGTGTAGGATATGCAGATTTTGGTCCAGGCTGGACACTGATAATATTCAACACTGGCACAACAGCAAAGCTGCCTGCACAGAGCCCAGCTGCTAAGGCTGATGCTGCTGATGCAGCCTTGCTGCAGTGCAGTCACCTTTGTGTCCACAACAGAAGGGGATGGCAGCCGGGATGCTGCTCTCAAACCCACTGCAAAACCCCTTGCTACTGCCCCACAAACCTCTCCTCTTGGTTCCCCAAGCAGCTGCGTGACCCATGATGGCCAACCATGAGAGATGTGTAGGGTGAGCACACAGCTCCATCCAGCCCCTGCACGAGCAAACACAGGCATCTCCCAGCCTGAGGAAGAAGTTACTCATCCCTAGGGGATGGGAGGGAGGGGCGCTGCAGAAGGAGCCCTTGAACAAGA